TGAAAGTATCGTTGGCTGATTTGTTGAATGAGAAAAATACTATTTGTTGATTAAAAAAATATAGCTTATAAACCTAGTGAACTGGGCAGAAACTTCAACCACATATCCACGTGTAAGCATACAGAGCTTCATGCTCGTGGTCGTGGCAGCAGGCCGGCAGGCAACCGAAATCAAAACCGTTATCCTTGCAAGATAACAAAAACTAACGTGATCCTGAGATCTCTGCACTGCCACATGAATTCAATGCCAAATGCCCAAATGAAATGAGCAGTGACTATGGAGCGTGCTCGTGGTCCTACAGGCTACGTACAGCCATAGTAGTCAACGATGAACAACAATGCAAATGGCAGTTGCGGACCTGCATACTTTAACCTTTTTCTCTGATAAAAAAAAACTTTGCGTGACCGTGACCCCGACACCAATGAAGGTTCAGGTACGTGGTAGACAACTAGATATGTTTCCCGTTGGGCTGAATAAAATACTCACGGCTTGTCAACTCACTCGACTCGTGGTCGGCTCGGCTCGACTTGTTTTAACTTTTTTATGAGCTGAGTTGGAAGTCTACCTCGCTGTTTTAACGAGCCAGCTCACGAGCTGCTCACAAGCTAAAACGAGTTGAGGCCTATCAGCCTACAACTATGAATCCAAAAAATGATGATGCTGACCTAAAAATATCAACCTATTCTATTAGGATGTAATCCTTATTTTTAGCTGTTTCATATGAATTTTGATTTTATAATTGTCGTGGTACTTAAATGTTGATTTATGGATTATTTTTCAGGGAGAAGATGATGATGCTGGTATTGAATTTGAGAACTTTCCTAAGTCTGTGGTGGCAAGCAACTAGTAAGTATGTTGGAACTGCATGGATCATAGATGGACCAACTATGTTGCATGGTTGATACTTTTGATGAATCTAATGTGTATTAATCATATATGGTTGCATAATAGTGGACGTGACCTTCTGAAACTAATGTAACATAAACATTATAAACATGTGTGTCCTATTTTTTTAGTAGCTCGTGAACTAAACGAGCCAATTCAAGCTTGCTAACAAGCCAAACTAAGCTGCCCCTCTAACTCATAATATTAACGAGCTGAGCCGAGCCGGCTCGTTAACCTAAAGAGCTAGCTCGAGTTAAACCGAGTCGAGCTGGCTCGATATCGGGGCCAAGTTTCCCGCTGCTTCCGTGGCCCATACGTTCTCGTGGCCGCGGTACACTCGTAGGTAAGATGGTTTGGTTGACGGCATGACATTTTGCACGGCGCACACGACTAACATAATATGCGAATGTTATAGGTAGGAATACAAGCAGGCTTACTCAAGAACCTACAAATAGACTTAAATTTTGCAAATGCTCTCTAGTTGTAGTCATAGAACAAACTTGATTTATAGACAAATCGTTCTATTTTCATGGATTAGCGTAGTCCCTTAGTCCTATAAAAAATATCGTTCTCGCTTTCTGAAAAGTCAAACATCTTTAACTTAAGCAAACATATATAAGAAAAATATTATATTTATATGGTACATAATTAATATCATTAAATGGATCGTTGCATATATTTTTATAATAACCTTATTCAGAGATACAAATATTGTCAATAATTTTTTATAAACTTAGTCAAACTTAAAAAAGCTTGATCAGCACGACTCCTATAGCGACTTTTTTTATGGGACGGAGGGAGTATGCGTCTGAAAAATAGTAGAGGCCTCGGTAGGTTGGCTAGGAGCATGCAGTGTAGACAGAAGGCAAGTTGGCCGCCTACTTCCCCTCTTCATGCCCGATTACTATCGCTCATCATAGCTATTGACCCACACCCTATCGTCTCCCAAAATCCTTGCGCATCAAAAGGCGAGTGGAGGGAGCCACATCGTCATCCTCATCGTGCTTCATGCTCATGTGACACTCGATAGGTTAGGAGAGGGCGGCAATCATGTGGGGTGGGCGGAGTTGCGCGGCGACGGGCAGGCTGCCAGCCACGAGTAGAGATCAAGGCCAGGAAAGATGGAGGCTATTAGGGTTATGGTTTGCACTTTGGGATTTGGAGAGGCCTCCAATGCCCTTGGATCCTAGTAGTGGTAGATGGGCGGTGCGGCGAAGGACGCCGCTGGCCACGGGCTATAGAAGTCACCAGCGACGGCAACATGTTTGTGTGGAAAGAAGAATAGGGAGGTTGGGAAAGAGGCGTGCTTTAGGGTGTGCTTGAATTCATTTGTTGGATACTATATTGCCTTGCATACCAAGGATATTGAACAGATTGTCTGTTTGATGCTGAGCAAGGTTTCCTAGGGACGTGTGTCGGCGAGCGCTGCCTTGCTAGCTCAAGAGCAGACCTGAGAAAACTTGCACGACCTAGCTTAGGCCTGACAGTCTTTGCTCAGCCCATCTAACTTATTAGACAGGGTTTGGACAAAGATATTACTATCCAGAATTTGTTTTCTCTATCCAAACCTAATACAAAAACAATATTTTTTTCATTTACTTTTACATTGAAAACTCCTGGGTGGCTCACCTAGACCTAAGCCCAGACCAAATATACCCACTGGGCGCATAGATTATGGGCCCAAAATCAATCGGAATTTTTATAGGCCCAGTCTGACTTTTTCTTAGGTCTACTCAAGAGAGTAAAATTAGCTCACCCGAGGTGGCAAGGCAATCTTGCCCATAAAAAAAGGTGAGGCAAGACTGTCAAAGTTACCAAGCACCCTTCATTGTCGTCTTGTCGATAACAGTACCGACACTAACATGTCTAATAAGATACCTAATGTCTCTAGTTTCCCCTGACCCCCCCCACCTATGTCGTTCCTTGTATCCTATCCATCCATCTGAGGTCAAGGTAAGCTAATCACATATAATAGGTCATCACCAAACGACTAGAAAATCTTGGAGGTGTATTACCTCCGTCCCTCAAAGAATGCAACCATAACATTCATTGTCTAAAAAAGAATGCAATTATAGCTTAGGACTAGCTTATGGGGGGCTCAACTCTAGTTATGGTGTCCTAAAAATAAGTGTCAGTTTGCGGATACAATCATTTGCCTTGATCTAACCAACATATGGGGAAAATAAGGTCATGTTTGGATGAGATAGGACTAGTTGTTAGCTCCAGCTAATTGTTAGTTAGATAAAATGTAGTTAGCTAAGAATTAGCTATGGGATGTTTAGACACTAAGCTAAAAAATACAAAGATCAATAGTCAGAGATTAGAATGCCCTCTTATTTCTGTCTCTCTCACCTAGACCGCTTCCTCTCTCTCTCTCTTTGATCAATCTCTCCTACACATGGATAAAAATGACTTCTCTCAGCTATTAGTCCTTGTTATGTAGTATTGCTCAACTAAAAATAAGCTAAATAACTAGTTGAGCTCTTAGCTAAAAACTAGTCCATTTATTAACTCACAGATTTGAATCAACTAGAACTATTTATTAAGAGCATCTCCAAAATATTTTTTAAACTCACTCTCCAAATTTTCATTTGAAAATCAATTCTAATAAAATCACTCGCTATATCTTTCAACCCTTCAATCATGTTCAACAATTTGAAGAGCTAGTTCCACTCTCTATTGAAAACCAGAAATAGGAGATGAAAATATTTGAAAATTGATCGAGATAAAAAAACTACTAGAGGAAATGTCTTTACACTAAAATCGTTATTCCTATTAATACAAAAGGACGTAAAGAAACCTCTGAAGTTCTCGGTTCTCCAAGGTCCTAATGACTACCCAAACTCCCAAGCACATGCAAGCATGTCTAGGCAAATAAGAATCAGATCCGGGTCAACTAGGCCATAAATAGATGGACCGACGACCGGTCGCGCCCTCAGGGAGCGTGCGACCCTCTTCCTCTCCATGTCCCGCGCTCTTCTTCCTGCACGCCTCCTCTTCCGCGCCTCCTCTTCCCCCCCCCTCTTCCTCCCACACGAGCTTCCTGCAGTCCCTCCGATCCCCTCTTCTTCCCCCACGCCATGACTTCCTCCTCGTGCATTCGCCATAGGCACTCGAGATCCGGCGTTCATCTTCCTCCTCACCCACCGCCCGCAACGACCTCCTCTCCTTCCCCTCCCCCTCCCGCCATTGCCATGGCCATAGGCACCACACCCCATCCTGAACCCTCGGTCCATCTTCTTCCTCTCCGGCGCCGCTAGTCGCATAGTAACTTTTGCCCAATAGATACGTGGAATTCTGTCCCCGTTAGCTGTGGAAAGAAAAACTAAAAACAGGACCTGATCTTTTGCTGGCGAGAGTGCGAGACACCAGCTACACCCAACCGAACCCCTTCTGATTCCAGTCCACTTGAGTTGAGGAAGAAAAGAGCTGTGGCTCGAGTTCTGGTACAGTTGCATTGCGGCAAGGACCCCAAAGCCCAAACCTGCAGACGTGTCACCTCTGAATGTTCCATGCAGTATGCACACTCGACGGACACCCATCAGCCGGAACGATATAAAACCGATAACCGACCGACCTATACGGTGTGCCATCTTCTTCCTCTCCGGCGTGGGCGTGAGTGCGGCACTGCGGTCGCATAGTAACTTTTGCCCAATAGATACGTGGGAATTCTGTCCCCCGTTAGCTGTGGAAAGAAAAACTAAAAACAGGACCTGATCTTTTGCTGTTCACGAAGCGAGAGTGCGAGACACCAGCTACACCCAACCTATACAAGGTGACACGTGTGAGCCCGTGATTCAGTACTTGCGTGGCGGGACCACCCAGCACTCTGAGCAGAGTATTCTGAGCTGTGAGCTCGTTTGGTTCACAGTACAGCCTCACATTTTGCGCGGCCACAGACACCCCAAAGCCCAAACCTGCAGACGTGTCACCTCTGAATGTTCCATGCAGTATGCACACTCGACGGACACAAAACAAAAGGCGCCAACACGGTAGAAGAAGCAAAATTTGATTCGTATCAGACGGTGAAACTGTAACAACAGGATTACTTATTATTCACTTTCAGCTAGCTTTGGAGTCTCAGACTGGTGACTGCTGAAGCTCCTCCACGAACCTCAACTAGGAGGAGGAGTCTCTGACGACGGCGGCGGCACGACCTTAGCCGCTTGCACGCCACACGCTCGGCGGGCCACCTCGTCCACGAACGCCTGGACGTGCGCGTCCGAGTACCCGCCGGGCGCCACGGCCTCCCTTGCCGCGGCGCTCCACCTCCTGGCGCTGGCGAGCATGGCGTCGGCGTCGGGCCCGGCCACGGCGTCTTCCACCGCCTCCCGCACGGCGTCCCGCCGCAGCGGCCCGCCGCGGAGGCGGACCCCCATCCTGAGCTCCTCCACCAGGAACTTGGCGTCCGTGCACTGGTCGCCCCACTGCGGGAACGCCACGACGGGCACGCCCGCCGCGATGGTCTCCAGCGTAGAGTTCCAGCCGCAGTGCGTGAGGAAGCAGGCCGTGGACGGGTGCGCCAGCACCGGTCCTGGGGGCTCCACGGCACCACCGTGCCGCGCCCGGCCACGGCGTCCAGGAACCCCTCCGGGAGGTGCTCCTGGGTGTCGGGCCGGACCACCCACAGGAAGGGACGCCCCGTGGCGGCGAGCCCGTGCGCCATCTCGCCCACCTCCTCCGCATTGAGCAGCACCACGCTGCCCACCGACGCGTACACCACGGAGCGCGGGGGCTGCGCGTCCAGCCACTCCACGCAGTCGTCCGCGGCCTTCATCAGGTCGCCGCGCACCGCGCCGTCGCTGCCGTCATCCTGACCGTCGAGCTCGATGAGCGGGCCCACGGGGATGAGCTCCGGCGGGCGCGGCGTGACGCCGGGGAGCGCCGCGGCGACGTCGCGCTCCAGCTCCGTGAAGGAGTTGACGAGCACCCACGACGCGCGGCCGATGGTGCGGAACTGCGCGATGATCGCGTCCACCAGCAGCTTGTACGGGTTGGACGGGAGCAGGAACGACGGCACGTCGGCGACGGACATCTCGGGGAGGCCCGGCAGCGAGAACCGCGCGTCGAGGTCGTCCTCGCGCGGGAACTCCACGAGGCCGTGCACGTGGTGGTAGTAGAGCGAGAACACCGCGCACGACTGCACCCACAGCACCGCCGACGGGATCCCGGCGTCGGCGGCCACGTCGGCCGCCCACGGCATGAACGGGTTCACCACCACGCACGCCACGGGCCGGCCGTCCGCCGCCTGCCGCGCGAGGAGTTTCGCGAACGCCGGGGGGCCGTCCTTGGCGAGGTGGCGCATGAGGTCGTCCAGGTCGGGCCCGGGGTCTTCGTCGTCCAGGAACTCGAACCGGACGCGGCCCCGCCCCACCGGCACGCCGTCGCCGCCCGCGGACGCGGCCAGCTTCGCGCCGACGGTGGAGACCGAGGAGAAGGTCACCAGGAAGCCCTTGGCCGCGATGCGCTTCGCCAGGCGGAGCATCGGGTTCACGTGGCCCTGCCCCGGGAAGCATATCAGCAGCAGGTGCGGCGGGGCACTCCCTGCCGCTGCTGCCACGGTGGGCGCGGCCGCTTCCTCTCCCATGGATCGGAATCGGACCTCTGCCACGTCTTCGTCGGCCTCCCCTGAGCTGGCCGGCAAAGTGCCCTGTGCACCCGTGAATCAACACCTTACGGGCGGCTTGACGAGGACTGATCTCTGTCTGCCGGGTCTTTAGCGGCGTGGAGAATACAAAGCCACCACTGCACTGATGCATTTATTTATACGAGGGGAGAGGAAATTGGTTCGGGCAACGATGACGTCGGGCGTGACCATGTCACTGGGCTTGTGGCATGTCGCGAAGCACGCAGAGGGATCGAAGTTCGCCAGACTGATAACTTCAAGAGAACAAGTGGATGTTAATATACTTTTCTTTAAACTTGTTCAAAAGTAGAGAATTTGGCTTAGGGTGAAACTAAAATGACTAATAACTTGAAAGAGGAGTAAAACGTAGCCATATGCAAAATTAAAAAAACTAATACAAGATGATTACATACTAATATATGTTCCAATCATGTAAAGCCAACCTTTTGCTCAAAGTAAATGAGAGATAAGACTTGGTACAAGAGGGTGGCTGATCCATTCTGGTTGTGTAGGAAACAAGCATCCACTTAGATAAAATAGATGTAATTCACACTTTTTTTCTTGCAAATCATACATGCATGTACATGCGCTGCGGTGTACAAATGCAGACACTCATACATGCACGTACACTTACCCTATGAACATATGCGCACACACTCTATCCCTAGCAATGAGCACCTATGAATTCACATGATAATTTGATGTAAATGTAATAAAAAAGGGGCATGGATTCCTGAAAAGTAAATAAAATGGTATAAGACCATATACAGTACGGTGATTTATCCATTTTGACAATGGACAAACGCAATCATGGCTTAAATATGAACACCCTTGTAGATGATGATGTGTATGATTCGATTGGCCAGTGCCATTTGTGCACTTCGGGAGATGTGTGTGATGTTGGGTGGCGGGATGTTGACATAATCACAAAAGTGTGGTGCTGATTGCTGAATCCGGAGAGGAACTAGGACCGTACCGCGTAGCCAACGGTGCATATGGCTGAGGATGACGCAAAAAAAGAAGAAGCTAGCAACAGCAAACCATACAACGAGGCAAAAAGCAACAAAGAGAATCCAGTAGTCCACATCGACGAAGCAAATGGTCAAGGAATCACTTCATTTTAAATGAGATAGTACATTATGTGTCTATTCCTTAAATAATTTAGTAGAATAACTCTGTTCCTCTCACACTATTACTTATTATTAGGTTTGCAAGAATGAATAAGAGATGACGATAAGTCAACTCATTACGTTCTACAAATTAACTAAGCAAAAAAAATGTGTAAGAAGATAATGAACTATTTCATCTTCAAACTCATTACTTCGGAATGGCGTAATCTTGACATTCTACTTCCACTTAATGTAAAATGTGTCACAATGACACGCCAAAAATGAAAAACAAAACATGCGGCTTCTAGGATGAACAAGGGTTATTAATTTATTTAGTCAGCCAATCCAAAGTAAAGATGGCAGCGGGCATGATGCTCGCGGATACTGCCTTCTTATGCCCACGCCCGCCAGCTAAATCTCTTGCCCGCGCCCGCGACCCGCCACGGGCAACAAACCACGCCCACGCCCTCCATCCGCGGGCATGAAATGCCAGCGGGCATGCCCGTGTGCCCGCCAGGTTGAGCATATACATAAACCATAGTGCATTACAAGAGATATGAAGATACATATTCACAACAAATCGTGTATATATACATATATTTGCCTGTAGGTCCCACATGTTAGACCTGTGGAGCGGGTCTGGCGGATAAGCGGACGAGGATAGCAAATTTCTTTGCCCGCGAAGAACTATCTTCTGGGTTCAGGATGGTGCCCGCGCCCGTGCCCGTGCCCGCGGGCAAGAAGTGGTGCCCGTATCCTTGCTCATCGGGTTCCATGCCCACGGGCATGCGGGCATTCTGTGCCCGTTGTCATCTTTAATCCAAAGGTACACAAAGGACCCACATCTAATAGGTATCACAAGGAATATACTGTTGGTTTACATGCAGTAGTAGGACAAAAAACTTCGATGATGCATGCGATGATGATCCAGCATTCCAGCCTGAGGAGGACAAGCACGTCACTTCACTTCGACTAGGCACCCGTACCGGCGCGGCGCTGGCTGTGTATTCATTCATCACCTTGTAACAGCTAGCCTGAGGCTGTGTTTAGTTTGCGAAATAAATTTTTTGATATCACATCGGATGTTTCGGGATGTCGAAAGAGGTTTTTGGATACTAATAAAAAAACTAATTACATAGGTCGTCTTAAAACCGCGAGACGAATTTATTAAGTCTAATTAATCCATCGTTAGCGCATTTTAGTTACTGTAGCACTTATGGATAATCATGGACTAATTAGTCTTAAAATATTCGTCTCGTGATTTACAACCAAACTATGCAATTAGTTTTTTTTCGTCTATATTTAATACTCCATGTATGTGCCGCAAGATTCGATGTGATAGTTTGGGGTGAAAATTTTTGAGAACTAAACCAAGTTGGGCAAATTTTGGAAATTGTGCCACTGTAGCACTTTCGTTTTTATTTGGCAATTAGTGTTCAATCATGGACTAATTTTGCTCAAAACGTTCGTCTCGTAATTTCCAACCAAACTGTGCAATTAGTTTTTTTTATCTACATTTAATGCTCCATACACATATCGTAAGATTCAATGTGATGACTACTGTAGCATTTTTTGAATTTTTTTTTTGAACTAAACAAGGCCGAATATAACAGGCGAGCTGCTGCTGGCGCCTTTTATTTCTTGCGGCTGCGCAGTACTACGTGGTCTGCCGTGCGCGCGCGAACCGATCGACGTAGCTAGCTGGTAGTGGTAGCCATCCCGTCCGTGCATCGCCATCGACGCGCGCGGCCGCGTGAGTCCACCCCATGGTGAGCCCAGCAGTGACGCAGCGCCGTTTGGCCGCTACCCCTGGCGGACGCTTCTTCTCCGTTTCGTTCCGTGCGCGGCTCATCGATCTGCTCCTCCCATCCGTCGTGCGGCGACGCCGAACACAGGTTTCTTCTGCATGCGTGCTTCTGGAAGCCACAACAACACGACTCGTGCAGCCGCAATATTCATTCTCATGTAACCTTGCTCGCCAAGTCAATGGCGACTTCTGGATCCATCGGTCGGATCGAGGGAGCCTGCGTCTAGCAGTATACTCCGTATTCGGCAAAAGAAAAACTGCTATATAGTAGGCTACAGCCTACAGATGGCGACGCCAGGTTTTGTTTGCTGCCGAAGAAGAGCGCGGAGCCTAGCTAGAAGTCTAGCATTTGGAAGGAGAAGGCAATGCTGCTTCGTGGTGCTCCCGTCTTGCGTGTAATTTTTACATATATATATCGTTTTCACTCACGGCGACTTTGGCATGGAACAGTTTGTTACTTTGTAGCAATTCACTTGTCCGTATGTGGCTGCCGTGTACTGCTGGCCTATTATATTTGTTCTGGAATTGCTGTGGTCACAGTTTGGTTGCCATGTGGGGTAATATATATGCATGAATGTCCAGTCCAATCCCCAGCAAATCAAAGACGACTGATCCCTACTAAGGAACATGGGTACGTTGAATACAGGTACACTGTTGGAAGATGATTAAGGTGATGGTAACCATAAGTCCTGGTGGTGACAACTCCACTCAATTGTTTTTAGTACTGGGTCGTCTGTTTTTATGCATTGTTAGAACTTTGATGGTGAGAGAAATAAACTAGCAGGACTCCTTTCGATCTTGGAACGGATGCCTTTTGCATATTGGCTCCTTTTGATTCAAAAAGAAAATGCGCCATTTGTATATATATTACTCTCGTGGTCAAGCTTTTTTATGTTTACGATGAATATACAATAATTACGTATATACACAGATAGCCGTACAGATGCATGTTATTACATTCATCATATATAAAAATGCTTTCAAAATATTTTATCATTTATTTGAAAAGTTGTTTAACCTTTCCCATAAATTATTGGTCAAATTAAGCTGCATCTTGTATTGTCTCGTCTGTGGGCCTGCTCTCCTTCCGTGTCTCTGGCCGACTGATCCCAATGCTGAAAACTGAAATCAGTAATATATAGCTCACCATGCGATAGGCCATATTTTCGGACCTGCTGCACGACGTCAATCTCGACGACACTCCTGACAAGCGCACCAGCTTCTTTGAAGACGACAACCACCGATTGATGTCCGGCCTCATATACCGGACGTCGACGCGCGGCGACCACGAGTGGCCATCTTTCAAGTTCATCTGGAGAAACTTTGCGCCACCGCGGGTAAAAGTTTTTGGCTGGTTACTCGTGCAGGAAAGGATTCAATGCCGATCCGTGCTCGTCCACAAACACATCCTGGACGATGCTCGCTGCGCGATCTGTGGCACCCACCCACGACGAGGACGCTGACCACATCATCTCCGGGTGCGCCTTCGCCACTGCTTTCTGGACCAAGATCGTCTGGGCGCCGAACGGTATTGCCAAAGTCTCTGAGTTGTGGCGCACCGAGACGCCTCCGCACGTACACAAGAACGTGGCACACCCGATCCTCCTCCTCATATGCTGGGAAATTTGGAAGCACCGGAATGAAGTGGTGTTCAGAGGTCTACAACCAAGTGCTGATCGCCTCGTCGCCGCCTGCAAAGAATCCATCCGCTCATGGAGTCCTAGGATCCCAAGGAGAAATGCAGTCTTGGCTGCTCATTGGAGTGCCTCGTTCCTTATGTAATTTACATTCATTGCTTCGTTTTTATTTGCTTTGTAACTCTAAGACTTGGAGGCCTTTGCCCCTTCCACCCACCGGCGAGCCGGAATCAGTGGAATGAAGTAGGTGGGGATCTTTTAATCCTCCGCGCCCGAAATTACCTCAAAAAAAATATTTTCGGGCCTATCGAAGACTTGTCGGGCAAGCACCGCGAGAACGACGTGCCAACTAATTAATAAACTCAATGAAATATGGCATGCGACAAGAGAAACCTGCCTCAAAATCTC